GCTTGTGTCTGTATGGCAGCATCTTACGACATAGGGTATCTTCCCTGTGAATATATTTAGTAAAAATCTCTAGTTGTATCATTTACCTTTTGAGTAGGAAGAAGAAATGTAACTTAGTTTTCCAGTAGTTGTAGATTTGGGAAATGTAATTTAAGGATTTAGGAGTAAGAAGCATGTATATACGAAGACACACACACACGCACACACACACACACACACACACACACACACACACACACACACACACACACACACACACACACACACACACACACACACACACACACACACACACACACACACACACACACACACACACACACACACACACAACACACACACACACACACACACACACACACCACACCATACCACACACCACACACATATATATGTGTGTGAAAGTGTGTGTGCATGTAAGTATAAATATATAATATTTATGTATCATTTTATCATTGTATATATTTTGATTATGTATTTTGAATGTACTGTGAAAGCTCATGATGTTCAGAAATATTTCTGTGTAATTAACTCAAATGTTGTATATATAATATTAATCACTATTAATTTTGTATTTCTCTTAAATTAACTTTCATGGAAATATTTTCTTTCATGACTTTCTTTCTGTATCATTTTATTTTATTTATCACTTACCTATCCTCAGCCATTTATCCTTCATAAGTCTATTCCTCTTCCCTTATCCTAGACTCACAGGACAAATATTTTGTACCGTTTGAAAAAAAGAAAAAAAAAATGTCCTAATTCCCTCCCACCCATAAGGGATTCCAGATACTGCACGCATTTTAGGTGAAGGACTTGTGTCGTTGCACTATTTCTATGTGGTAATTGGTAGCACGTTGGTCTTTCCGTCCACAGAGCTGGCAGTATCAAGCAGGTGTGGTAGCGACACTGAATGAACAGGGAGACGCAGCCCTTAATGCAGTGCCTACGTACCTCCAGGTATGGGGTTCTTGCTTCTCTCAGTGAAAATGAGGGATTGTTTTTCTTCTCATTATTATTCATACTATTGACATTAGCCTATAGGAACAAATTTTATGCTGAGAATTACATCTGAAAATTTAATACAACCTATATTGTTATATACCTCACATCTCACACCCCACATCCCATTTCCTGCAGGCAAGTGACCTGGAGGACGCGGCAGCCTTGGCCAAGAGGGAACTGCGCTGGACCCTGGTCAGAACAATGTCCACCACTGAGGAAGATGATAATGGAAATAAACAGCACCTCTTAGAAGAATGGTTGTGAAGTTTGTATATTAAATAACAGTGGAAGGAATTTTATGATGTTGCGTTAATATTAATTGTGTTTTTATAAACAGATATATATGTATACATGTAAGGATTATCATGTGAAGTTGTCTTTTTGATACATGTTTCTTTGTCTCTTTGTCTTTTGTGGCATTTGACTTGATGTCAAATGCATTTTTGTTTTTTTTTACAGATCTGTTGATGTTAGATGATATGTATTGTAACAGAACTTGCCTTTTGTTTTTTATTCAATAACGTACACAAATGATCTAAAATTCAGCTACATTATCAAGCCAGAAATGTAACACACCACTATAGTCAACATATACCACAGGTTGAGACTTTTAGTAAAATAAAACAAAGTGAAATTAATTGAACCACAAATCCATAGAAAATTACCTTCAGCATATTCACCACAAAAAAGCAGCCATAACTGATTGTCATTGGCTGGCTTTCCCCTTGAATCTCATGTGTCTGGGCTTGAAAAGGGTCAGGGATCCAATTCAGAGCCTAGTTACATACTCAGTATTTCATAGCTATTTATGAGGGATTTACATAAAGTATATATATTTATATCATGTCCTTTTTTCTGTTTGGTGGATATGTTGAAGCTAATATGATATTGGGAATGGCTGATATTGTATGATAAATAAGCGGCTGTTTGTGTATGGTAAATAAGATATTTTTTGTTACAAAATTAGGATAACATGTACTGAGACCCAATAATAAATGCTGTTGCAAACATTCTCCAGCATTTGGTTGATAATATTTATTGACGCAGTGGGTTTTTAGCTTAAGGATATTTGATACATTGTTTTAATGGTGATAAACGTGATGTTTTTAAAAGTATTCACCACTAAAATGAGTTTTGTCTTTAGAAATTATACAGTGTAATGAGTTTCCATTTCATTATTGTCTACAAAAAAGATGTGAATAACATCTTTAGATTTTTAGTTGCTATGAATATGAAAATCATATATTTATATATACATATTCTTCCTATTCATGGAGGTATTTAAAGTAATTGCAAAATACAAAGTAGATGCATTGGTTCTCACATGAACACGATTTGGTAAGACTATACAAAATGTGCCTTTTGTATTCTATAAGAAGTTTCTTTTTTTTTCTTTTTTAACAAGCAAGAAATAGTAATTAAATCTTCGTCTTTAGATCAAATGATGTAACTTCTGATCATTAGAAATAAGTGATTGTAGTGAGTCGACTATTGTTTAGAAAAGAATGTTTCCTAGTGCTTGCATCTTTCGCATTCTTTTTTGGTTTCATTTTGTTATTAGAAACCCCATTTTTGTTGGTTTCTTTTGTTGATTCATGTCTTATTTTTTTCTACTATATAGAAGAAGTTAAAATTCTCTATTGCTCTCTCTCTCTTTAATTTATCTCAAAGAAAAAAAATATAATGCTTTTTTTGTGTATTCATTCTCCTGGGTCGAAGGTGTTTATTCTAGTCTCTTCAGAGGAACTTGTTTATTTTTGTTAAAACCTTTTTTTTGTAGTTTGTTATTTGTTATTAGTAGAAATGCTCCCATATCCACTATACTTTATAATCGACAACGAATAAAGGATAAGTTAATATTTTTGTCTTTTGGATTTGGTAAACCTTTATCTTTATTTTCCCAAGCAACTGCAATATTCTCAGGGTCATATGAATGTGAAAAAAAGGAAAACTGAAATACATGATATTCTAATACAAAACAAATGATATGAAAAGAAAAGAGTATTGAAGAAAAGAAAAAGAAAAAAATTATGTGGTCTAAATTACCAACTCAGAAAACTATATGGAATTCTTATAAATATTATATGAAATTTAACCACACAGTAATGGTGACAGCTATAACCATCATGATGTAACAGCTTATGACATGACTCACAGTGGATGGGCCGGCTGTTTCACAGCTTAGGCCTAGCCACAAAGTGTACACTGTTCTGTAATATTACATCACAAATAAATTGGGCGCTGTCACAATAGGGTTATTAATACTTAATACTAAGTATGCATCACAAAATAGTCTTAAAAATGGTCCTATATGATGAATTCAATTCAAAGATGGGTGTGAAATTTTTCATAAGAAATGTATCAAGAAAGAACGAAAGAAAGAAGAAAAATGCAGACAGCTGCCTGAGAGAAAAATTAGAAGCCAGGGAATGCATTTGTCCCATTTCCTACACTTTTAACTGCATCCTACTTCAGAGACTGCAACCAAGGCCAAATAAACAAACAACTATTTATCACACAAACAGAGCAGGTTTGCCTGTGCATGGAATGAATACTTACCACCCAGCATTTGGGCCTAGTTTGCCATGTGATTAGATGTCATGTGGCATGTATGGGTTAATCAAATGCACCCACCAAGGAAACAAAAAGCATTCATGAAGAATTGACAATTTGTATATTGAGTCTTCAAACACCTTGATATTGTCATTAGCTAGGGGACAAGATTTGCAGGTTGATAATTGTTCTCCTTATTTTTAATTTTTTCAGTTAAGATCTGAGGGTGCTTCTTGGCCAGTTGAGGTTTTGGGTATTAATAATCTGCAACATCATTTTGCCTTATGACAAGGAAGTCTATGTTATATATGCCAATTTGAAAATATGTTTCTTCATAAAATACATTCTAGCCCATCCTATTATCTGCAACTTTATCTTTCCATGATTTTTTTGCTTTTGCTTTAATTTCCTTTTACTAAAGTGAGCAACAGTAAACAGACAATGAATATCATGGTTTGTCCTTGTAATGTCTTCTTTTGTATAATGCATTTCCAGCCTATGTACCATAAATTCAGGCATTTTTAGAGATACATATCTAATGAAAAATATTTAAAAATTGAGAATTTCAATTCTAGGATAGAAAATACTTCAGTCTTCAGTCTTAAGCATTAAGACCTTTGTTGTGGATGGCATCAGGTATGCTATGGTTGCACTGGATCAAGTTGTAGGTGGCAATACATCATGACACAGTCTGTGTCATTAGCTCATCAAAGGGAGCTTATCTTTCTATTATAGAAGTAGTGTTATTTATCTGGCATTATGATTAGATACAGGGACCTGTCTTACAACTGTATTGCTGCTATATTAAGTACAACTGCATACATTTCTGACTTCCCACTCACTAACTACATTTTGGTCATTTTGAGAAAATTGCTTGAAAAGTTTGATTGCTAGTTGTGCATTTGCTTATAACTGAATATTTCAGGTTAGTGTTCGGAATGTTCCAGTGTCCTCAATACTTGACAATTTCTGAGCCTTATTGTGTTTTCATTATTCAAATGTAACAAATGGAACCTTGTAGCTTTGAAAGTTAAAATGCAATTTACACAGTTCTATTTGATTTGACAAAGTTTTTAAAAGAGTAATGGAACAATAAAACTAAGTAAATAAACCACCTTCTTTGTGATTATTGCTACTGGTACCAAATTGCAATAACAGCACATCACTGCTGCTTAAAAACAGACAAAAAGTTTTGTGGTCCTGACTCACAGAGCTATTGGCTACACTGGTAGAACATGCTTTTCAATGCAAAGTAGCTCACAGAGTTACAAGAATACCAAACCCCTTATCGTGCATAGGAAAATTTGAGCTTGGCTTTTTTTTTTTGCTTTACCCATCAATAAGGAAGTTGTGACAAAACTAACTCAATATCGAAAGTTGCTTTATAGTACTCTTTGTCAAGCAAAGGCATGAATTTCAACATTGCCTTAAAATCAGCTATTTTGTTCAGGGGAATCTTATTCAAGCTGGCTGCATTCTGCACTCACATCTTCAAATTTTCAAACCTGATCTCCCTGTCATGCCTTCCTCTCTTCATGGGCTTCACATTCTAAACTTCTCAGCCTGATGGGATGTTTTATACTAAATCTCAAACGGCCTTGCAGAGGATAATTTCATTGCAGTTACTTTGGAGAACAGGACTACCTTGTAATCAAAGGATTTGGCACAGGTTTGGTAGTCCTTGAAGTGAGGACCCCTCATTTGGATGACATTGTAATAGCATTCTCTGCTTGCCTTCAGCATGATTCAAATTACAGACACAGGAGAACAGAATTGAGCTACAACCATTGCTATTTCCAAGACACTATGAACATTATCGATTTGCTGTACTGTAGAATGACTAGAAGTACAATATTTCATGGTCACTGTTTCAGTATTTGGATGGTGGCAATCACAGTTTCCATTTGAAGGGACATGACTATCACTCCATGTGATGTGTTTCACCTCTTGATGTTAAAGAAACCTCTTTCAAGTATTTGTATGACTATGCTTCCTATGTCACTGCCAGACCTTCCACTGATTTAGTGGAAAGTGGTAGATAGAACCATGTTATTTTGAAGGTGTCCACTAGCGAACTGGAACCATGTGATTCTGTTGTGGACATTAGACCACTAGGTCTTATTGCTCCAAATCCGATTATTAGATAGAATTTTGTAATACCAACGATATCCACTACTGAACTCAATTTTGACTAAAATGTTAGTTAGAACCCTGTGATTCTCAGGTCACAAATGTCCTTTATGATATAATCTTCATATCAGACTAAAAAAGAAAAAGAAAGAAAAAATCAATTTACATTCCCTTCTTAGATTCATATTTGCCAAACACTTTCAATGTCATTTATTTTTTTGCTTTTCTCTTTTTCACGTTAATGCTAGGACTATTTGACAACTCATGTCTGTGTGAAAAGCCTTGTAAAAGGAAAAAAATTGAGGGCATCTTTTTCCATCAAATGATAAAGACCATATTTTAACATACATGTCTGTGTGAAAATTCAAGTAAAAAGAAAAATTCTAGGCCTTTTTTCCTATTTCAATAAAGACCACAGAGTTAACATAAAAGGCGAATACATAGCTTGACTCTCTATTCTTAACCTCCAATCAATAAAAAGTATGATGAAATGAAAAATACAATTCTTTCTCAAGATTTTTAATGAAAAAACTTACACATACAGTTCACTTACACACAAAATGGAAGAGAAAATTAGTTTTCAAAATGATAAATAAGTGAAAATAAGTGAAAATTACAGTTCGCTGATGATTATGAATCTTAAAACAAAATAAAAATATATATTTATGCTTAAATTTTCTTCTACTTTTTGCAGAATAGAAAGTATTTAAAATCATCATAAAGCTGAAGATATGAGACTTCAACAATTTCTTGAATTTACATTTTGAGTTTATTGCCTAAAAATTTTAAAAATTGCTCAAATTTCAATTTTGATGGAAAAAAAAAAAAAAGTTTTCTC